CGTCGGCTATCGACCGGGGTCTGCTGGAAGTCGCCTCACTTGACACGATCCGCTTTCGTCTGGCCACGTCGACAGCTGACGTTGGGCCAAGTCAGACCGGAAAAAAAGAGCCGAATCGCCGCCACATGGTCAGCCGGACATCGATCTCTCTCGATATCGATTGAGCCGACCAGCGGTGGATGGCCGGTGAGTGTACCTCACAAATACTGGCAGTCTGATAGGCTTCATGCGGGCGTCGAGTGCACTGCGCCGCGACTGTGGGAAGCCGTACGAAGGGACCAGGTCTGTGCGCATTAACGAAAGTTGCCGAATACATGAAATGCAAGTTCACCCATTACTTGAAGCATCAATGGCAGAAAGGCTCGCAGTTACTTAGCACCAGGCTTACTCTACATTGTGAATCAGAGGTGCTTTCTCATTCATGGATAACAATTTCAGATTTAAGAACATATATTTCAATGTTTCATCAATGCTAGGAGGAATAGTCGTGACGCTGGTAAAGTTCCCATATGATAAAAGTTGACTGGCTAGGAAACTATTTGCTAACATTTGTTGAGCTCACTTACTTTTTGAGTGCAAAAGCGTGAGGAAGAGAAAGCGACGCATGGTTTCGCTATAACATATGCGAAGAAAAGTTGGGTTTCGAGGAATATTTTACTTTAGAATTGGTAAGCTTGCTTCATCTTCGAGCAAAAGAGTATGCTAAAGAGTTTACAACGTCACTCTCAGCAGAAAGCGACAACGGATTCATCCTGGCCATATTGGGACATTGTTGTCGACGCTGTCACCGAGGCAGTCTCCTTCATTTCCCATGAAAATGCGCTAAGTTTGCATCTGTAATATGTCATTTTTACAACCATATTTCAACTACTGACTCATGAACACTCTTGGGCCTATCCCTAATCACTGTATTTTGATGCATTTCATGAGAATACAATGATTTGGTAGGTTTAAGTCATATGCTACTATATAGGTATGTGCGTGTGTCTGAATGTGCGCTTATATGCCTCAATGTATCACTGCGTTTTTTATATTTTAGCCACCACTCCGAATGCGTGAAGTTGGATTCACGTCTGAGTGAGTTGATGAGATTGTTTAATCGAAGGTATGAAGACCAGGATCGCGTGGCCTTTTGATTGGTCGCGATCTCCTTTCGTTGTACAGAAGTTGTTTGTGTGCAAGAGAAAAAGAGTAAAGTAGGACGTATTAAAAGTGTGATTGTGATTATAAAGATTACCAACAGAACACAGATATTAAAGATCAAGATGGTAAGGCCTTTTGTTTATTCGCAATTGTAACTCTGTGCTAAAGTTGCTGCCTCTTACTGACTGGGCATGTACCAAGTCAACAGTCCGATGCTGGAAATAATCATGAATATTATGGCAGAGGACGCAGGACCAAGTACGTTCTAAGAGGTCTCCCTAAAGCTCTGACCAAGTTGCGAAGATGAAGTCAAATCGACACACTACTAACAGAAATTTGTAGATATGAAGAATAACTGGGTTTCGAGTAATCTCCTGAGATAACGTTATTGTTGGGTCTTTCATTTCGTATAAAAGTTTTAACTTGAGAATTTTGCAAGAACGAGTCCCAGCTCTGATGATGTCCATCATATGATGGACGAAAGCTCAGCTCGTTTTGACTAGAAACGACGGAGGATGT